ACTCATTCGTTCTTTTCTTACAACTTTTTTTCTTTTTTTAGTTGTCAGAAGGCATGTGCATTCACCAGAGAGACAGAGAAAGAGAGAGAGAAAGGGAGAAACCATCCCCCAGTGGGGCATGGTCACACTGCAATCCCTTCTCCTCTAGTTCTCCATCCCAATAGTAAGTTAGGCACATGCACACACACTTGGTGTGTTTCTCAAGCTGCAGGAGCTGGGATTCAAACTGCAGTTGGCCATGTGGGATCTGACTCCCTTAACCACTAGGCCACCGGGTCAACCCATCTTTTCTTTTAATTTAGTAAACATGAAGCAATCCCTATTTCGTTCCAGAAACAAGACACAGTGAATGCAAAGCCAGTCCCTTATTCTGTCCTCCTAGAACTCACAGCTTTTCAGAAGAAACAGGTGTGTAAAAATAATGTCTGGTACAAGGTAGAATACAAACTGTTCCCACAGCACACAGGTATGGTGTTTCACACAGCTGTTGGCTCTATCTGGATGGAATTGCTCTGATAAATACAGGCATTCTCATCTGTTACTGGACACATTCAATGCTCAAAATGGATGTTTACAGGACAAAGTGATAGGACTGAAAGGAACAACAGCTGGACTATTTCATTGAATCATGATAGGGAGTTCAGGCTCTCAACCCAGATAGACCTTGGTTGAATTCCAGTCCCCTCCCATTCTCCTCCCCTTTCACATTCCCACCTGTTGTATATTCCTGGTCAAGTCACTGAACTTTTCTGAATTTGATTTTCTCTTCAGTAAAATTAAGAAATTAAAATACATTAAATGTTTGGCATCAGACAGTAAATTTAGTACCAATTTGGTACCTATAAATGTGCAATAATTGGAAAGAACTAATTACTGTTGTGGTTATTACTATGACTATTAAGAGGGTTGTATTATTCTTATATGGAGAAAAATTAGTTTGAGATATATACCTACTTCAAAAATGATTCTGTAGCCAATCATAGCAGCTAAAACTCGTTTCACTTTCCTTAATCTTTAAGGATTATAGATAAAAAATTAGAAAAGAATGGCTCTTAATGTGTACCTGCGGCATGTATTTATTGAGCAATGTTCAGGCTCTAACAGGTGGATGGAAACCAGATTTCCTGCCTGGACTACCAGACCATGACTAGTGAAACTCTTGGTATCACACATGGACAGCTCTTCCAGGGGTTGAACATGCCAGTGCTTTTACTGACTCAATCAGCTGTTCTTACGTGATTTCTAAAACTGCTTTCCAGAAGCAAACTGGACCATAGACTTTTCTATCTACAGTTCATAAACATCTTTGTACTTGTTAATAAACCTTAAATGCATTAGAAGATCCAGTTTAGATGACAAATGGGATTCTTTCTGTTACTTATTCAAGTTTAAGAACTATTTCTTCTCAGTAATAGACTTCCTTTATCTAAAATAGACTGAATGGATTGGAAGTTGCCCACACATTTTTTTCTTGGAAAATTGTATTTGTCTGTTCATCGCTCTACCCACTCTATGTTCACATTTGAGAGGTGCTAAATAAGTCACACATCTGAAAATGTCATGCCTGTCTAATTTTATGCCTGGTAACATATGTATTTTTTTTTCTTTTTGTATTTCAAGAAAGTAAACAATACACTGCATTTCAAAAATGTTGTCGAATCTTATGCTATTTTATAAAGGCCACAAAACCTTGTATTACCACAATTTATCTATCCAGTTTCATAATAAAACCACATGCTTTTCTTTTCTAAGGTGAGTAGGAAGTCTGAGTGCAAATAGCAGTACCTGATCTTTCATAAAGTTAACGCCTGACGGGAATATCTTTCCTTTGGCATGCAATCGACAAACTATGGGAGAAAGAAGGGAATATATGGCTGATAATTGCAGAAGTGATAGTGTAATTATTACTGAGGGGTCCAGGCAAAAGCACTTACTTTAGAATTATCCAAAACTTTAGAATTATCCAAATAAGCTACTAAAGATGAGCTTATTTGACAGATTCCTATAAGAGAAATATTGACTCAACCATGGTATATTGCATAAGATAAATTTAGCTTTAAAAAAAAAGTGATGGGGGAAAGATAACAAGAAAGCCAGCAGTACATAGAGATGAACTGGTAAGCCACCATCCACTTCCTTGTCTGCTAGTGCAGTTGCCTCTGGGAGGGTCTTCCTGCTCCCATGTGTCATTTCATCCTCTGCCCTCAACCATCTCCCACCAGTGGAAAATGGGGTCTTTTACACACACACACACACACGCACACACACACACACACACCAGATCACATCAAAGCCAAGCTTAAAACAGTTTGTACTTTCCCCTTGAACCTAGACAAGCTAAGCTTATTTGTGCCTCAGCACTGTTTCCCCCTTGGGACCCTCTGTTGGGGAGATCCTTTTCCCACATTTTTATAGGTCCCAAATGTCTCAGAGTATTCTGCTCCATCACTCACTATTATGTTATCTTCTTCATAGCACCCATCACAATTGATTTAAAAAAATTAATGAACTATTTTTTAGATCAGTTTTCTGTATACAGAAAAACTGAGCAGAAGGTGCAGAGTTCTCACCTATCCCTTCTCTCTGACCTCTCTACACAGTTTCCCCCATTATTAGTATCTTGCATTAGAGCAGTACATTTGTTTCAACTGATGAACTGATGATGATAAAGTCCAAAGTGTAGATTAGAGTTGTACATTTTATGGGCTTCAACAAATCTATAATGCCATGCATTCACCATTGTAGAATATGGAATAGTTTTACTGCTCTAAAATTTGCTGTCTTCCACCTAGTCAGATAACTATTCACCTTCTTCAACTTCTAAAAACCAACCACTGATCTTTTCAAAGTCTCTGTACTTTTGCTTTTTCCAGAATGTCATATAGTTGGGATCATATAGTATGCTTACTATTTGATTTTTTAAAAAATATTAATTGTTGTCTGTATCTCTCTAGAGCAAAGGCTTCAGTAAACAGGGACCTTAATTGTCTTTTTCTTCCTTTTACCCACAAGATCAACAACGGTTCCTTAGTGGATACTCTGCAGGAATTCGCTCATTCAGTGAATGAACAGATCTTTGGAGTAACCCAATAGAAGGCAATCCCTATACTCTTGAAACTTTCCTTTCTTGATTTATCCTAATAACTTTGGAACTGTCTTATGTAGGTTTCTGACTTTTACATTGGTGTTTTGCTAATACTGGGATGGGAAGAGTTGTCCCTCCAGGCCCTGCCCCAGGATCAAATGGCTGAGAGTGTGGCTATAGGTCTTTCAGCCACAGAAGATCCACGTGAGAACAACATAGGAATGTATCTGGTGATGTAGCAGGCACAGGCAACCCCTGAGTTAGAGATGCAGAATCGGTTATGTATCTTGTGCATCACTTACAAACTCTGCTCTGGCCCTCCCTGCCTTTTAGGTCTTCAAAGACTGCATGTGAATCTGCATTTCCACTTCCCTGCTTTTATCTTTGCCTTTGCTCTTCTGCATCTTATTCATTCATCTCCTAAACAATCTTCATTTTTATCACTTTCTACCCTTTTTGTTCTCCCCCTCCTCCTAGCCTTTTTTCATCTGTGAAGCAGAAGAACACCCTAATTGTGACGGAAGAGAGAGTGAACGGCACTTGAGATTTCCTGTGTTAAGGAAAGAACCACATGTTTTAAAGAGCAATTAACCATAACGAGGAGCCACACCCTTTGAGTAAGAAATGCCCAGAGGTCTGTCACCATTCCATAACATCTCCAATCTTCTGTCATTACATTTTCCTGAAGCTCCACTATTTAAGATATAAAAATCAGTTTTCTTACTCTATTCTTATATTATTCTTTACTCAGTCACAATTTTGAGAAAGCTTCTTTCTATTGTGCTTGACCCATAGGAGATATATCTGAACTCATCATGATGAATGTTTTAGGATGTTCTTGCTCCTTACTATATTTTGATCTCTAGGAAACATAGCCAACTTCACCTTACTGAAGGCTATACTTGCTTTATATCCTTCCTGTTTAGACTTACTTCGCCGCTGAGGTTTTAGACTAAACACTAATCTTTCTAACATAAATCCCTTCCCAGCAGGGGGAGTACAAATGAACAAAATCCAATAAGACACTTAGCAACAGTGTTGATTATGGATGGAATAAGTAGCATGATGCCTTTTTTGGGGGTGCAAATAAAAGCATTTAAAAAATGCACAACATTAAAAAGAACACAGCACACAGGAAAAAAGATATTAAAACCTATTTGTAAGCTTCAAATATTATATCACAAAAATTTTCAAAAGAATAGAACAATTTAATTATTCCACTTGAAAAATAACTGTTAACTCATCCAATATCGAATAGTGCAGCCCATTTTATTTGAGTTAGAATTATTTTGGGTACAGTTTTTTTTGTATGTTTTTAAAGGATATATATATATATATATATATATATATAGTTACTTATAGAACTTTTGAAGTGTATATTTTAATATTATTTATTCACCTAAAAATAGGGGACAGTTTATCTTTTAAGGCTGTAAACACCTCCTTTTCAAACCTGTCATTTCTTGGAATGCTTTTAAGGCCCTTCAAAGACAAGGAAACACCATTCCTTAGGGAGTAGCTTTTCTCAAACACATAATTTTTTTCTGAGTTCCACAGAGATGATATAAGAGAAAAAATAATGTAAGCCCAAAGTGTATCCATGAGACTTTAATGACTTTGAGGGCTTTAGTGTCATCAGTAAATCACTTTCTAAAGCTTTTTGCCCCCTCCTCAGAGGTTGATTAAGTTACTAAAAATTTCAGCAACACTACAGCATTATGTGTCAATATCCATAATTCTATAGGTTTTCTGTTAACAATTACTCTAGTATCAGATATGCGATATTTCCAACCTCGCAGGATCAGAGTCTTGCTTCTGCCCCAATTTTTTCAACATTCATTTGAATGGAATTGCAGCTAATAATATTCAGCAGCGAGCTCAGCAAAGGATACGACATACAGAGAAGCAAACTTACCATCAAACACGTCACTATAATAACAAAGATGCTGAGAAAAATGACAACAGCATAAAAGCCTTCTTTGCTCCAGATTTTGTCCGCTTCATGCTGCCCTTGTAAAACATTTTTCTTTAAAAGCAAAACAGAAAGTCCAACATTAAAGGAGCACTTGAGGAACCGGCATTATTATCAGACACTAAACATATTTTTAGCTTTAATCCATTCGGCGTAGTGGAGCACACCTACACCCCGACTGCCAGAGCTGCTTCTCAGACTGATCTGAGACAACAGGCTGCCCTGCTCCTGCATCAGATCATCTAGGCGTCTATACAGGAGCAAGCATACCCGACAAGGCTGCTCAAGTCCCAGGCTTTGTATAAGTCTCTTAACATCTCTCTGGGAAACTACCTGTTCGTAGGTGAGAGTCTTCTGAGCTGAGGAAATTGTTTCTGACTGTTTAAGTTCCCGCCCACAACATCGACACTCTGGTTGCTGCTGTTACACTGATTGTACTTTACTTTTAAACAAAAGTGAAACAGGTGCAAACAAAAGCTCGTGATGCGTTAATAAATAGAGCAACAATGGTAAGATTGGTTCCTTTTGTCCCTCCCCCCCGCTTTCATCACATTTGTTTTTTTCTCAAATGGAGTCTACTTTGTCAAAATCTGAGTAAAGTACCATCTTAATCAGACATACGATTGCTAGGATATCATTTAAAGCAACAGCAAACACCGAAAAGCTCAGAATTATTTGGCAATAAAAGGTAAAAGAGTTTTGTTTTTATTTTATTGTTTCTCCTTTGGAGGTGGAAGATTGGAGAAAAAGCATGAATAGAATAGGAATGAGTCTTTTGGGTTTATTTCACTCAATCTTTTTTTTTTTAAGCACATTGACTAAAAACAAGTTTTAGAATGAAATTAAGTTTTATAATTCAGTGACATAACAGATTTATAGTTAAAGAAACTTGAGCTTGAAATCAAATGAGCTCCAATTAGAAAAAACATACAAAGGCTAAATCAAGTCAAATGCTTCTGCTCATCTGAAATTCCATTTTGCTGGAAGCTGCTTTCCTATTCCCTTTAGTGAGGGCATGTATCTGTCTTTGGATATTGTCTCCAGTGATTAAGAGTCTTGAGTAAAACATGTCTCATAACTGTCTGAACTTTGAAATGATTGCCTATTATATTTAAGCTTAAAAATATGTATCTGATATTAGTAAATTAGGCAAAAGGAAATATTTGCCTTGAAAATATTTTATCAAAACTTTTATCCTAGAATTCAAGCAATTCCAGGTGGGAGATGAGTAAGGTAGAATGGAGAAGATCCCTGACTTCAATAGTGATTACAAAAATTATTTGGAGGGAGAATTTTATTTATTGCTTTAAGCAGTCAAGTTTCCATTTCCTTTGCTTGTAAGGCACTGATGTATTCATTAGCCCTTTTCTGCTTTCTAAAACATAGACTGATGCACATATACAAGAAATAGTTTAGATATGTAATTATTAAACAGGTAAATGGTAAATTGACAGAAAAACTAAAAATATTTGACCGATGAAATGTTTAGAAACCAAGCATTGGGGACAGCAGGCAGTTAAGGCAGCTGGATCTCACATGGCCAACTGTGGTTTGAGTCCTGGACCGGGTGACTAGAAACTCACACCAGGCTTGGGCTTACGTGCAAGCATGCGCAAGATCCTGAGGGGAGAACAAAGGAGAAGGTATTGCAGAGTGGGTATCCCCACGGTCTGGGGTGATTTCTCCCTTTCCCTCTTTCGCTAGCTTTCTCTGTTTCTCTGCTCTCCAGCAAGGGCATGCACCCAATGGCAAAACCTACAAAATTAAAAAGAAAATAATTAAAAACAAACAAACAAACAAACAAAAACTCTCTTGCTGGAGAAAAGGACATCCTAGGTTAAAATAAGAACTTTTTCTTTTAATTCCTTTGGTCTCAGCCAGATAATTTTTTAATTTCTATGTCTCAATAAACATAAGTGGAAACTATTAGAAAAGAAAACTCTTGTAGAAATCAGGTATAAATATGGAAATGAATTTGCAAGCAACTTAATAGTATCCATTGTTTGCTATAAAAGCAAACTAGTTAAACCTTCAAGTAGGCCAAATAAATATGTCAAATTTAAGTAGAAGGGTCTGAGTTTAAAGTCATGTAAAAGTTGGATGAAAAGGGATGGTTAGGAGAGTGGGAAAAGATTTCACGCTCCTAGCCTGGTTTTGTATTCCCTGCCCCCCCACTATAGTTCTACAACTCCTGAAATATCAACATGTTCTTTTCTGCTTGAGACAAATTCATTTTCTTTTTTAGAAGCAGGGATGATGGAAAAATTAACCTCCCACCCTTCCATTCCCCAACCCCAGTTCAAAAAACACGTGTTTTGAACTCTTCTAACTTAGTCACTGTACTTTCTTGGTAAATAGGTTTTCTTCTGAGTCATGGTACTCCTGCTGAGCACTACTATATTTGTACAGAGACTTAAAACATTTGATAAGGGCAGGATAACAAATGGAAAAGTTTGTCACTAAGATCTTACAAATCAAAAGATTAGAATTCACAGGGATCTCTAATCTAACTTTTGCATAGGGCTAACCTGATTCCTTTTTTTTTTTTTTCGTTTTCTTGGAGAGATTTTTGCTATAGGGCGCATGCGCTCACCAGACAGACACAGAGAGACAGAGAGACAGAAAGCGAGAAATCACCCCCCAGGGGGGATGGCCACGCCGCAATCCCCTCTCCTCCATTCTCCTCTCGGGATCTTGGGCACACACGCACACACGCCCAGCGTGAGTTTAAGCCACCAGGTCCAGGACTCGAACTGCCGTTGACTATGTGGGAGTCCAGCGACATAGCCATTACACTAACTGCTGATCCCAACCTGATTCCTTTTATATCTTGTCCAGGACTTGAGAGTTCAATAACTCAGAGGCTCCACGGCCAGGTCTATCTAAAGCCACTTTATCATCTTGATGTCTTATTTCGTAGATATAGGGCTTTGCCCTTTAATTGAGTTGCAGTAAGAGAAGTAGACAGGTTTTGTTTTGTTTTATTATTTAAAATTTGAATTTACATATAGTGATGGCATCTCTGATACATTCTTTTTATAACGTAATGCACTTTCCTTACTTCTTTTCTTTTTTCTTTCTTTCTTCCCTCTCTCCCTCCCTTCCTTTCTTCCTGTTTCCCTTTTGATTTCCCTCTCTTTCTCCTTTCCTACCTTTCTTTCTTCCTTTCTAACTAATTCTGATCCCAAGTGTTGAGAGAGGTCCCAAGTGCTAGGACAGATGATACAGAAATACAAGAGCATTAGGGGCTACTTTTCCCTCTCCCTCTCTCTTTAAGATTTTTGCCATAATTGCCAGAGACACATATACACACACATGGCGCGATGGCCATGATGGGATTTTGGGCATGCATGCACATGTGCCCTGCATGATATGCAAGCCACCAGGTCTGAGACTCAAACTATGATTAACCATGTGAAAGTCCCACACCTTAGCCACTATGCCACCTGCTGGCCCCACTACTTCTTTTTGAGACAGATGAAGCATACAGAATAAAAATGAAGTGAAAAAGTTATAAATTATCTGGTTAATTTGATTGGCTCTGGCAGACAAAGATGTATCCTACAACAACATGGCTTTGCTGGATAAATATCCACCTTCCACTGTTTATGCACAAGGTGAACAATTGGCCTGAATGATCTAATACAGGTTCACATTATTTATCTCCTCAGTGCTATTAGGTTAGGTCAATCATTTGTCAGACTAGAGTTCTGGTTAGTATTAGTAGTTTAATGAAACAATGACCAAACTCATGAATTATTGTTTATATTTACATTATTTTTTTGTCTTTATAACTATTCTGTGAAGAGATCAGTCAGCACATTCGGGGTTATTATTTGAAGGAGGTAACTTCCTCCTTTGAAATATAAGACAGATAGAACTGGAATAATTTGTAACTGACCAACAAAAACAATTCCTAAATCATTCATTTTTGCAATATCAATGCAAAACTTACTGCTTCCATAGATATATCATTGATTTTGTAAAAACATTTATAAGGGAAATGAAAATAATAAATTTAATTGTATTTCTCTGAGATTTGATTTATTAGGCATGAAGATGTCTAACTTAACCTTTTTCTTTTTTTTTTTTTTTGAGAGAGAGAGATTTTTGCTATAGGGTGTGTGCACTTGCCAGAGATACCAGAAACAAAAAATCACCCATCCCCCCTTCTTGGGGACAGTCCATGCTGCAATCTCTTCTTCTGCATTCCCTTCTTGGGCTCTTGGGCACATATACACATGCTCCCAGCGCAAATTTTAAGCCAACGGGTCTGGGACTCAAACTGTAGTTGACTACGTGGGTATTCAGTGGTATAACCATTATGCCGTCTGCTGGTCCCTAGTTTTCTCTTTATGAGCATCTTATGATAAAATAATACTTGAGTGTCTACAATGTTCTAGGTATCACGTAAAAATATGTAAAGATAGGGGCCAGCAGATGGGGTGACGGTTATGTCTGGACTCCCAAGTAGTTGACTTCAGTTTGTGTACTAGATCTGGTGGCTTAAATGCATGCCAGGTGCAGGTGTGTGTGTACCCAAGATCTTAAGAGGAGAATGGAAGAGGAGAGATTGTGGCATAGCCATCCCCTCTGAGGGGTGATTTCTTTCTTTCTGTTTCCCTGTCTCTCTCTGACTTTCTGGTGAGTGCACACACCCTATAGCAAAAATCTCTCTTTAAAAAAATACATACATATATTATAAAGATATAGTGACTTTTAAGAAACTTAGATTGGGGTGAACATAGATGAATAAACAAGAGTAATTCCCTATTTGATATTTCTCTTTTGTTTCTTTCTTTTTTTTAAGTGAGGTTTTTGCTATAGGGGATGTGCGCTTGCCAGAGAGATAGAAATCGAGAAGTCACCCCTCAGGGAAGATGGCCACACCACAATCCCTTCTCTTTCATTGTCCTCTCAGGATTTTGGCCATGCATGCACACGTGTCTGCCGTGACTTTAAGCTGCTGCGTCAGGGACTTGAACCATAGTTGACTACATGGGAATCCATCTGCTGGCCCCTTTATTCAGTATTTTTCTTTGTTTCCCAAAAGTCATTTCAATATTGAAAAAATCAACATATAAAGAGACAGCAATAACAAAAAACACATTCTTCCATCATGATAAGGACGTAAGCGTAGGAAAAGATGCTTTGAGACATCATTCACTGTGTTCTGTAATCCACGTAAGGAAAGAAAAAACAAATACTAATGTTCCTTTTTCTGTTAATGAATGTTACCATAGCAAGCTATAATTTCAGGGTTAAAATGTGGAAGAATGGCTTGAGGCATAAACTGTTGTGGAACATGAACCACAAAATGATGAATAAAGAAGTGGGGAAACTCACGGAACACTGTCAGCAACTAAACAGCTATCGACAGATGTTTTTGCAGTGCTGCTTTAGGCTGTGTTGACACCAAGAAGCTCCCTGCTGGGGCACCTGCTCACTGTGGACAGCTTTCTTCTGTGCATTTAGGGCTGTGGGTTCAGAGCATGACACCTGGCCATTCTAGGAGTGTCTAAACAAAAGCTTCAAAGAATCCATCTGTCCTTGCCGAAATACTCCTTAAATCCAATTAGAATATTTCCTGATCCTCTGTAATAAATATGCCCTAAATTTCTAGATTCCAACCATTTCATAAGAAAATACTACATTGTGACCATCGAATGCACTTTCATTAGTGAAGTGCAGGGCAGGGCTCAGGGTCTATTGTGAGCTGGGAGCCCTGGCAGGGCCTCCAGGCCAACCTCCTTACCATTACAGGACTGAGGTATATTGGAGAACTCCCACATAGTTGATTTTAAGTAGGTTTTATTTGTTTGTTTTATATCATGAACTTCTCTTGGTTCACAAATCTGGATGGTTTATTAAGTTGCCATATTTTTAAAGCCTTCAGAGTAGCATTTACACTTTGAATAAAGCAACAGGCATGTTCATATTATGCTCTAAAAGCTTATGGGAAGTAGAATAAATTAATCCAATGATCTTTCTAAACTTTAAAGGGGGATTATCCTTGGCAAGTTGTTTTCTGGTTTATATCTTGGGAATGGGATTTGATTTGTTATACAAAGAAAGCTCCTTCATATTTAGATACAGGTAGGTCTGTGTGTTTACACTTAGGTTACTCTCTCCCCTGGTCTCTCTGAAGTTCAAAGTGGCCTCTTCTTCAAGGCTCCCATCACACAGTATAGTTTCTTTATGATAGTCCTAAATTCCTTTTGTTTTTATCTTATTTGCCCTTGTTACAGCATAAATTTCATTAAGAGCAAGAATCACATCATTTATTTGTTTATTCTCTTGTTTTTCTGACTGTGGATACCTAGCAAAATGCTTGGTTATTTGTGGACTCTGTTTTTCTTGTACGCCCATTGTACACCTGGTACTAACTGAGGGCACTGAACATGTGATAAAATGACATGCCACGTGCTGACAATGAATCCACAGAATAGAGATGGGCCTGCAGGACAACATGGGAAAAGGAGACTTTATACTAAGCACAATGGGAGCACCATGTCTGTGCAGGCACAGAGAAGGTTTTGCTACAAAGCAGACTGATCTTGAAAAATGAAAGGTATGTGGAAAATTCAGCATACAGAAAAGCATGGAAGGAAGAGAGAGTCATGGGCCTATCGTAAATTGTATGAAGTTTAGAATTGCTGAAACATAAAGTGGGACAGCATTGTTCAACAATTATAAAGTCTAGCACATGAAGGACCATCTACTATATTAAGACATCCAGACTTCATTCTGTAGTATTTTGGAAGTCAAAGAAGAATCATAAAACTAGGAGGGCATGGACAGATTTACCTTAGTAAGATTACTCTGGCGGCAAGAAATAAACGTGCCGGAGTGTGTGAGAGGGAGAGGGTGAGGGAGGGGAGCAAACATTCAGGAAGACCAGTTGGGAGTTAATTGTGACAGTCATCGTTCAATGATAAAATACATTCTCTTCCTGTCCCTCTATTCAGCATTCAAATATTTCTTTGGCAGTGATTCTATGTGAGACTGTCCACTAATATTTTTAAGATATAATTTATATGTCAAGTATATAAAGTTAAGATTATCACCATTTTGGATATAAAGAAGGTGAGGCTCACATAGTTGATACTATGCAAAGGCAGACAATCTCACAGAGATCAAATTACCTGCCCCAAGTCACACACATCTTAAGCATTCGTTTAGGGGTTTAAATGCCATCTTGCACTAAAGCTTTTTATCCCAAACCTGTGATACTTGCTGAAATGAGAGAGTGTGTGATTTATAGAGAAAAGGAATAGACGAAGAATCAAGATATATAAATTTTAAGCTTTGCTTTAAACATTTTGTCGATTTGGGGTCACTTAATTTCTACAGGTCTTACTCTCTGTCTCTATAGAATATGCACATCCGTTCCCTCAAGGTTTAATTTCATGCTTCTGTGAGTTGAATTACATACATTTAGGATGATGATCATTCCAGCAGAACGACCACGGAGTGGGATAGGACAGCAATAGAAAGACCCCAAAATGCACTCCGGAACAAGATGGGGGGATGGCAAGGAAATTATTACTTTTTTTAGTTTCAAATTTGGAAAGCACCGTGAAGAAAATATCCATAGTTCTTAAGACTGGTTTCTTAGGTAGAAAAATAAGTCACATTTTAAATTAATTCCAAAGTTGTGGAAAAGGTGAATAGCTAGTGACTATTTTTTTTGAGAGACTATAGGGCACATGCTTTCCAGAGAGTCAGAAAGAGACGGAAACAGAAAGCAAGAATCCCCAAGGGGAATGGCCCTACCACAATCCCTTCTCCATTTTCTTCTTGGGTTCTTGAGCACACATGCACACATGCCTGGAGTAAGTTTTAAGCTTCCGGGTCTGGGACTCGAACCATGTTTGACTACATGGGAATCCAACAACCTAACCATTATGCCATCTGCTGGTCCCCTGGTGACCTTTTTGACAATGAAGGTAATCAGGAGGAGTGTGCTTACTGAGGAAAAGTTAAGGGTTTCATTGTTGTTGTGTTTTGTTTTCTTTTTGACATGTCAGTTTCAAGCAATCAGTTGACAAAAATATCTAAGTGGCCTACCTTCTAATTAATTTGACAAGTCAAGATAAGTTTCAAGTCCATAAAGATTTGGAGAAAAAAAGTTTCAAGAAGTGAAACTTTAATGAAAAATGGATTTCTTTAAGAAATAAACACATAACCATGAAAACCAGAAAATTCTGAACTTTATTATCAAATGACATAATAAACAGCTTTCACGTCACAGCCTTGTGAGGTTGGATTTCCCAATCGTGCCAACTGGGCAAAATTTTAAAAACTTCTTTTATTTTCTCACTTTTTCTTATATTCAATCACTAAACATATTTAAAACATATAAAAATAATTTTCCTAGCATGAATGCACTGTATATTAGACCAAAGAGGTTATCATACACATTATCAACAGATAATTTTTCATTTTTGTGTCTGTTAAATGTTTTGCTTCTTTTTACCCTTTGATTCCCTCCCTCTTACCCCACCCCCATCATTTTCCACCGTCCTCCCATATTGTCTCTTCAGTCCACAGTTGCTCTTCAAGTTTTTATGTGTTCTTATCTTTCAGTTTCTGCCATAGAGTGCAGACATTCAGTATATATATTAAGTGAGGACATACAGTGCATCCCTCTCATAGTCTGGCTTACAGCTGAACAAATACACAACTATGCAAATTTTTTAAGTGAAATATTGCATGCAACAACATACCTCAGGAGAGACTTCTGTAATTCCAAATTGTGATAAACTTTGATGCAAAACATTGATATTCAGTGAACGCAGCACTTCCTCAGATGGCAGAGCATCAGAAATTCCTGTTTTTCGGTTTATGGGAGACACAAATAGTTCAACACTGTTCTTCTTTTCCTAATAAAAGCAGATTATTTGTTGTGTTACAGACCTTTTAAATGACTTTGAATAATATTTTTACCTTCCCTTTAAAAACGTTTAAGAAAATCACAATCCTGGAATCTTCTTTTTTTTTTTTGAGAGGTTTTTCGCTATAGGGCGTGTGCGCTCGCCAGACAGACAGAGAGAGACAGAGAGACAGAAAGCGAGAAATCACCCCCCAGGGGGGATGGTCACGCCGCAATCCCTTCTCCTCCATTCTCCTCTCGGGATCTTGGGCACACACGCATACGCGCCCGGCGTGAGTTTTAAACCACCGGGTCCGGGATGCGAACCGCTGTCGACTATGTGGGAGTCCAGCGACATAGCCACTACGCTAACTGCCGGTTCCCAATCCTGGAATCTTGAAGGACATCTTGGCGTTTACATTTATTATAATAGTTACTGTCTATTAGAAGTAGTATTACCAGTCAGAAATCTAAATTCTTTAAATGACCTTTTAATTAGTTGACACTCCAGGATTTGTAATTTTATATTTCATTGGATATTTTTTATTTTTCATTTCATATTGTAATTTTTTTTTTAAATTGTGCATGTGCACTTATTGGAGAGAAAGAAACAGAGAGAGAGAGAGAAAGTACCTCCATGTAAGGGTATAATTACACCCCAATCCTTTCTCCTCCATTTTTCCTTTCAGGATTTTAGGTATACATGTATATACACCTGTTTTATTTATTTATTTATTTATTTATTTTTTTTTTTAGAGGATTTTGCTACAGGGCGCATGCACTCACCAGAAAGGCAGAGAGAGACAGAGAGACAGAAAGCAAGAAATCACCCCTCGGGGGGATGACCACATTGCAATCCCTTCCCCCTCCATTCTCCCCCTTGGGATTTTTGTCTTATCGGGATCTTGGGCACACACACACACACACACACGTGCCTGGTGTGAGTTTAAGCCACTGGATCTGGGACTCAAATTGCAGTCAACTACATGGGAGTCCAGCAACATAGCCATTACGCTAACTGCTGGTCCCACCTGGTATGTTTTTTCAAGCTGCCGAGTCTGGAACTTGAACCACACAGTCAGCCATGTGGAATCTAGCTGCCTTAACTGCTATGCCCTTGGCTGGTCCTGTAAATATAAATATATATTTCTGTGTGTATGAGAGAGAGCCCGAGAGGAGAG